GGATTTTTTAAAGAATATTTTTTTCAAGGTTCCAAACAAGGCGTGGATTTTTTAATGAAATTTTTTTTCAAGGCTCCACACAAGGCGTGGATTTTTTTAAAGAATATTTTTTCAATGCTCTATCAAAGGCGTGGATTTTTTTAAATAATATTTTTTCAATGCTCTATCAAAGGCGTGGATTTTTTTAAAGAATATTTTTTCAAGGCTCCATACAAGGCGTGGATTTTTTTAAAGAATATTTTGTCAATGCTCTATCAAAGGCGTGGATTTTTTTAAAGAATATTTTTTCAAGGCTCCACACAAGGCGTGAATTTTTTAAAGAATATTTTTTCAAGGCTCTATCAAAAGCGTGGATTTTTTTAAGAATATATTTTCAAGGCTCTATCAAAAGCTCCACACAAGGCGTGGATTTTTTTGAAGAATTTCTTTTTTTCAAGGCTCCACACAAGGCGTGTTTTGTTTAGAGAATATATTTTGCAAGGCTCCACACAAGGCGTGGATTTTTTTAAAGAATATTTTTTCAAGGCTCCACACAAGGCGTGGTTTTTTTTTAAAGAATATTATTTCAAGGCACCACACCAGGCGTGGTTTTTTTAAAGAATATTTTTTTCAAGGCTGCACACAAGGCGTGGATTTTTTTTTAAATATTTTTTCAATGCTCTATCAAAGGCGTCGATTTTTTTAAAGAATATTTTTTCAAGGCTCTATCAAAAGCGTGGATTTTTTTTAAGAATATTTTTTCAAGGCTCTATCAAAAGCGTGGATTTTTTTAAAGAATATTTTTTCAAGGCTCTATCAAAAGCTCCACACAAGGCGTGGATTTTTTTAAAGAATTTCTTTTTTTTCAAGGCTCCACACAAGGCGTGGTTTTTTTTAAAGAATATTATTTCAAGGCACCACACCAGGCGTGGTTTTTTTTAAATATTTTTTCAAGGCTCTATCAAAGGCGTCGATTTTTTTAAAGAATATTTTTTTCAAGGCTCTATCAAAGGCGTCGATTTTTTTAAAGAATATTTTTTTCAAGGCTGCACACAAGGCGTGGATTTTTTTAAAAAATATTTTTTCAATGCTCTATCAAAGGCGTCGATTTTTTTAAAGAATATTTTTTCAAGGCTCTATCAAAGGCGTGGATTTTTCAGTGTGACCGATTATAGTCCACATTTACAAAGTTGTTTTTTTCGTTTCTCGATGGCCATTTGGTTTCCTTGTTATTGTGTATGTGTGCGTGCATGCTTTCGTGCTTGAACGATATGGTGATGGTAGTTAGTGGTTGCCTGCACATTTTTTGTACTCTCACAATCCTGCTCCTTCAAACATCACGAGTAGTTTTATGTTTCGCACGTGTCACAGGATAAACGACATTTTTTTGAGATTTTTATTCCCCAGTTGCTACCGCTGCCGAACAATCCTTGTCCCCAACACCGTACATGTCATATGAGTAACGGGCGTTGTTTTATATTCGTTTCGATTTTTGTTGTTGTTTTTTTGTGGCGCTCTTTAACACTTCACTTCTTTGGACAATGTATGCGAATTGGTTGGCAATAAATGGCTAACACCGAAAAGTGCACTGACATTTTGGTAAATGCTGGACGTGCGGTGGCTAGGACCAGACCACATGCTTTTTGTTGATAATGTCATATTGATATCTGATTCTGGTGAAGGGTTGGTTAATCTCGAAAAAAAAAATAAATACAGAAACAACAACTCATAAAATGGAAATAATTTTCGATATCACAAGGTGACACAAATCATTCAGCAAACTTCGGGGGATAATGTCTGTGGTTGGGAAGTTAATGGACTTCTATGATATACCCTTGAAAAATATTTTTCACAAATCTAAGCCATCGAAAGTCCATTGAAAATAATTTTTAAAAAATCTACGCTTTCGAAACTCCTTGAAAATGAATTTTAACAAATCTACGACTTCGAAAGTCCGTCGAAATTGATTTTTATAAAATCTACGCCTTCGAAAGTCCCTTGAAAATGATTTTTAAAAAATCTACGCCTTCGAAAGTCCCTTGAAAATGATTATTAAAAAATCTACGCCTTCGAAAGTCCCTTGAAAATGATTTTTAAAAAATCCACGCGATCGAAAGTCCTATGAAAATGATTTTTAAAACATCTACACATTCGAAAGTCCCTTGAAAATGATTTTTAAAAAATCTACGCCTTCGAAAGTCCCTTGAAAATGATTTTTAAAAAAATCTACGCCTTCGAAAGTCCCTTGAAAATGATTTTTAAAAAATCTACGCCTTAAAAAACCTACTCCCCAGGGCTACTTATAGCCTCAGAGACTGTAATCTGCCCATACAAACAATTTATTACCTCATTTAAGACCCCTACCCACAACATTTCATATTTCCCAAGATTTCAATGATGGCGATGGCGACAAATGTCCATAACCGTCCTCATTTCAACTGCTTCAGAAGTGCTGTTCTCCCTTTTTGGTTAATGGTGTTCAATAACACTTATCGATGACGTTCGAAGACATTTGTATGTGTGGGTGGTGTCTGGTGAGTTCGTCACTGATTGATATGCCATTAGGAGTGTCATGTGCCAGCATGACAACAAAATCACTAACGTGATTTGTTATAGGGTTCGGATTGGTAGTCACTTTATATGATAATCCGCAGTGTCAATTCCGATACTCGAATCGAACATTTAGAGGTAAAGCATAACATGACAATTATCGCCAGCGCTAAGTGTACGAACATGTCACCACCATCAACTGCAGCATAATGGCCAAGTGTTGTCATCGAGCGGGCGACTAGAGTGACACCGAAAAGAGGATTAAGGATTGTGAATCGTGGCATGTGTAATTGCAATGGACATTCAGTGGAAATTGGTAACTGATATGGAGGATGTGTAATGTAGGGGACATTATTAAGGAGTTAAATCGTAGTTAAAAAAAAAAAATTTATCTAAAAATCCAAGCCTTTTGAAGAACCTAAAAATATATTATTTAAAAAATTTACAAAATCCACGCCTTGTGTGGAGCCTTGAAAAAATATTCTTTATAAAATCCACGCCTTGTGTGGAGCCTTGAAAAAATATTCTTTAAAAAATCCACGCCTTGTGTGGAGCCTTGAAAAAATATTTTTTTAAAAAAATCCACGCCTTGTGTGCAGCCTTGAAAAAAATATTCTTTAAAAAATCGACGCCTTTGATAGAGCCTTGAAAAAATATTTAAAAAAAAATCCACGCCTTGTGTGCAGCCTTGAAAAAAATATTCTTTAAAAAAACCACGCCTGGTGTGGTGCCTTGAAAAAATATTCTTTAAAAAATCCACGCCTAGTGTGGAGCCTTGAAAAAAATATTCTCTAAACAAAACACGCCTTGTGTGGAGCATTGAAAAATATTCTTAAAAAAAATCCACGCCTTGTGTGGAGCTTTTGATAGAGCCTTGAAAAAATATTCTTTAAAAAATCCACGCCTTGTGTGGAGCCTTGAAAAAATATTTTTTTAAAAAAATCCACGCCTTGTGTGCAGCCTTGAAAAAAATATTCTTTAAAAAATCGACGCCTTTGATAGAGCCTTGAAAAAATATTTAAAAAAAAATCCACGCCTTGTGTGCAGCCTTGAAAAAAATATTCTTTAAAAAAACCACGCCTTGTGTGGAGCCTTGAAAAAATATTCTTTATAAAATCCACGCCTTGTGTGGAGCCTTGAAAAAATATTCTTTAAAAAATCCACGCCTTGTGTGGAGCCTTGAAAAAATATTCTTTAAAAAATCCACGCCTTGTGTGGAGCCTTGAAAAAATATTCTTTAAAAAATCCACGCCTTGTGTGGAGCCTTGAAAAAATATTCTTTAAAAAATCCACGCCTTGTGTGGAGCCTTGAAAAAATATTCTTTAAAAAATCCACGCCTTGTGTGGAGCCTTGAAAAAATATTCTTTAAAAAATCCACGCCTTGTGTGGAGCCTTGAAAAAATATTCTTTAAAAAATCCACGCCTTGTGTGGAGCCTTGAAAAAATATTCTTTAAAAAATCCACGCCTTGTGTGGAGCCTTGAAAAAATATTCTTTAAAAAATCCACGCCTTGTGTGGAGCCTTGAAAAAATATTCTTTAAAAAATCCACGCCTTGTGTGGAGCCTTGAAAAAATATTCTTTATAAAATCCACGCCTTGTGTGGAGCCTTGAAAAAATATTCTTTATAAAATCCACGCCTTGTGTGGAGCCTTGAAAAAATATTCTTTATAAAATCCACGCCTTTAATGGACGATCCACACCTTATTCAACAATTTAAAGCATTCTCAGCACACAGGACTCTTTATAAAAATAAATATATTTTCATTACCATAATCGTATTCTGCTATGAAATACTTTAGTTATCAACACTGTCGTTTCCTGTTTTTTCTACTCTGGTTGACTGGTTCTTTAAGTTTGTCACATTCACTAATACTATTGTCCTTACATATTTTAATATAAAATAGGAAGAAAAGAAAGGACCCTTATTTTGCTATCACAAAATGTTCCCCTATTCTTACCCACCATCATATTTTTTGTCTTCCTCTCATTTGATATCTTATTTTTGCCTTTTCATTTCTTGCAGATTTGTGTCGGTATGTGTGTCCCTGTGCTAGGGTCTTGGCGTATCCTATTTATTAGCTACAACTAAACAGAAAAATTCCCTCGCATAAGACAAAAATAAACGAAGAGCTTTGGCAGAACAAATGCAAAGGAAAGACTTCATCAACACAGAGAAAAAAAGAAAAGGAGCCAACATCAAGGATAATGCCATAAATCCCTTTTTAATACGCACCAAGAAAGACAACCTGATAGGGAGAGACTAAATGAAAAAGGAAGAAAAATAAAACTATTAAAGCATAGCTTCACACCATTCTACACCCCTCTAAAATGAATATTTAAACAGGCCAGCATACAAAACGAAGTAGAAGAAGAAAAAAAAATCATAAATCTATGGCTAAATTTATGTTAAACACAAATATCCTTGAAAATCGGTATCAGAACATCTCTTAACAGCAGCTAGACAAAGTCATGAATAAATTCTCACCCAATACTTCCGCCCTAATGCAAACATCGTCTAATGTCCTAACGATGCTTACAACCGAAGTCAGTAGTAGTACCAGTAGTGAGACTGTTGCCGTTCAAAATGGTGATGCTGAAATTACCGATCCCGAACCAGATCCTTTAGATAAACTTAGAACGGAGTGCTGGGAACGTCTTAATCAAAGTACAACACAATATGAAGCGGGTAAGTAGAGGAGGGGAAATCAATTCAAATGAAAATTAAAGGGGGTTACAATAAATTTGTTATATGCAAATCTGACAACATATTAAACTTTTCCTATCGTATTACATGTAACCTAATTAAATCCCGTTTTAAACAACACAAAACTTATTAAATGTATTTCTATTTGCATGGCCTCCTCTGCCCTAAAGGGAAATACTGTCCTGGCACATTTGACGGATGGCTGTGTTGGCCAGATACCCCAGCGGGAAAAACAGCATACGAGCGATGTCCAGAGTTTATAGTTGGCTTCGATCCGGCAAGTAAGTAATAAAATAACATAATAATGTTCGTGATAGTTTTAACAATTTATTACAAATCGATGGAAACAGCTGGCAAATGGGGAAATTGAATGGAAAAATGGAGAATATATTGTATGCCTTAAATAAAGAAACAATTTTGGAAAATAATTTTAAATGTCCAAGCCTAAAAATATACCCTGGAAAAATATTTTAAATATCCAACCCTAAAAATATACACTGGAAAATTATTCTAAATGTCCACGCCTAAATATATACCCTGGAAAATGCTTTTAAAAGTCCACGCCTAAAAATATATCCTGGAAAATGCTTTTAAAAATCCAAGCCTAAAAATATACCCTGGAAATTATTTTTAATACCCTGGAAAATGCTTTTAAAAATCCAGGCCTAAAAATATACCCTGGAAAAATATTTTAAATATCCAACCCTAAAAATATACACTGGAAAATTATTCTAAATGTCCACGCCTAAATATATACCCTGGAAAATGCTTTTAAAAGTCCACGCCTAAAAATATATCCTGGAAAATGCTTTTAAAAATCCAGGCCTAAAAATATACCCTGGGAAATGCTTTTAAAAATCCATGCCTAGAAATGTACCCTGGACATTTTTTGTAATACCCTGGAAAATGCTTTTAAAAATCCACGCCTAAAATTGTACCCTGGAAATTGTTTGTAATACCCTGGAAAATGCTTTTTAAAAATCCACGCCTAAAAATAAACCCTGGAAATTGGAAAATGCTTTTAAAAATCCACGCCTAAAAATAAACCCTGGAAATTGGAAAATGCTTTTAAAAATCCACGCCTAAAGTAAACCCCTGAAATAAGTTATTAAAAAATCCACGCCTTTGGCTAGGCTTTTATAAATTAATTTTAAAAATCCACGCCTAAATGTAGGCCTTGAAAAAAATTAAAACCAGTGAGCGGAGCGGTATAGTCGGACGGGGCCGACCATATCATACCCTACACAACTTCCACAAAAAAGTAACTTTGTGCTTCGGCAATCTTCTGAGCTTGGGCAATATTTCGAGATAATTGCACCCTTCTGACCGATTAGAGATCTACAGATATTACAAATATTCAGTACAGCCCTGTAATTACTTGTACTGAATCCCTTCACCGTGGGTTGTGTTGTGATGTTCGGCTTGTGGTCTATAGATCTACTCGAAAAACAAACACAACAAATTAAGTTTTTGGTCCACTTCATCCAAATATTATTATCTGATCATCACCGAAAACTATAGTAGTTGTCCTTGACCATAACTGGAACCTCATGCAAAATTTAAAATCGATCAGCGCTATATTTCCGTTCTCTAGTGTGGTAATGGGTTATTAAATAATATCTGAATACGTAAGCACCTATACATATTTAAGTGTTACTCCCACATCCGAGTACATACGACAATATAATTGGTATCAATTTAAAGGTCAAGCACTCCTCTTGGATATACTATCAACTTCTCGGGTTTATGTCGTGCAGGAATATATATATATAAATTTTGTAACTTTTCACATAAAAGTCTCCCTGTAAAATTTCGCGATGTTTGAACCATAATTGCGGCCTCTGGATCGACCAGAAAAACCGACAAGTAAGTATTTGATCTATTTCATCTCCCAAAAAAATTAACCGATCAATTCCAAACAATAGGGGTCTTCATTAGCCAGAACCCATCCTACATGCAAAATTTCGTGAAGATTGGTCCATAACTGTGGCATGTATCGTGTTAATACCCTTCACCACATTGTGGTACAGGGTATTATGTCTTTGTGCATATGTTTGTAACGGGCAAAAGGAAACGAGATAGACACATGGTTCCGTTTGAGAATATGCATGGACTTATGTTCTAAGTCAATTTATGTATGTCCGTTCGTCCGTCTGTCTGTCCAAGTTAAATTGTAAACAAAGTACAGGTCGCATTTATTATTCGAATTGGATGAAATTTGGCACAGCTCATTCATTTGGCCCTACACTACTATTGAAATTGGGAAAAATCGGTTCAGATTTAGATATAGCTCCCATATATATTTTCGTCCGATTTTATGTAAATGGTGCACCAAAGTCCCTATATATCTTTCGATTTGTACGAAATTTGGCATAGTGTACTGATTTGAGCCTAGAATGATGTATGCTAAGTTTCGTGAAAATCGGTTCAGATTTAGATATAGCCTCCATATACATTTTCGTTCGACTTTATGTAAATGGTGCACAAAAGTCCCTATATATCCTTCGATTTGCACGAAATTTAGCATAGTGGACTGATTTGAGTCGAGAATGATGTATGCTAAGTTTCGGGACAATCGGTTCAGATTTCGTTATAGCTCCCACATATAACTATATATTCGTCAAATTTTACATAAATGGTGCATCAAACTCCTAATGTTTTTTTCCGATTAACACGAAATTTTGCACAACGTATCAAATTGAGACTTGAATGACGTTATTGCGTTTTGTTGAAATTTGTGCATAGCTTCTATATGTATTTCGAACGGGTGTCTGATTGAGATTAAATTTTTAACACTGTGGCGTAATCATGTATCAATTTTGCTATAAATCGTTTTCCATAAATTTGTCCCATGGTACGCAGACTACTCTAAATCTGCCCTAATGAAATTAAATTTAGCATAGGTTGCAGAAAAACATGAGTATGTTCCTTGTAGTTAACACTAGAACGCCGAAGGCGGTCATTTTGACCGCTTTCCAATTTCAAGTACAAAAGCAACTGTGCATTTAATGACACTTTTTTTAAATTTGGTGAATTTTTTATAATAAACGTAATTCTATGAGGTACAAAAAGTAACCATATTAAAAAAAAAAGTGTCATTAAATGCACAGTTGCTTTTGTACTTGAAATTGGAAAGCGGTCAAAATGACTGCCTTCGGCGTTCTAGTGTTAATATTGACATGCAATCGTAAGGGTACATATGTACAATATACCCAAAGTGGTGAAGGGTATCATATAGTCGGCCCAGTCCGACTTAACTACTTTCCTTACTGGTTACAAATTATAATGGACAGACGCACGGACGGAAGGACACACATGTCCAGATCGACTCACCTAGTCGATCGGTCTGCTTAAAGGTGGGTCTTGGACCAATATTTCGCGGCGTTACAAACTCTTGCGCCTCCACAAAGCTATAATACCCTGACAACATATTTGTGTAGGGTATAAAAATCCACGCCTTAATGTAGGCTTTGAAAAAAACTTCCGGGTTTTCATTCGCCACTTTAAATAACATAATTGTCTCTTTCCCTTTTCCCATTCTACTTTGGAAATATCCTTGTTTTAGGATTATTTTCCCTAACCCTTTTTATTTCGTTTATTGTAAGGATATTTCTTTATTCAATTTGCACCAATAATAAACGGCTTACGGAATCCCGCAATCAAAATATACAATACGCTTAAATGAAATACAATAATAATAAGTGATCTGTAAAATTGGTTTCATTGAAATGATTTTCCAAGAAAATAGTATTTTTGTGGGCTATGCCTACGCATCCTATTTAAATTATCCTGCGGGATATTTTAAATGTTTCCCAGCATCATTATATTTTATTTTACATGCTACCCCTCCATTTTTTTTATTGTTGTGGCATTTGTTTTGATATCCTGAAAAAAGGAACAACAATAATTTGTGGCTTAACAAGGAAGGAAAAACACGTAAACGAACTACAAAGGGAAGATAAAAAGCCAAACTCCAAGTGGATTGAAGTGTAACCAAACAATTGTTGAATTCACTTCCTTGGTTCGTTCACTCGAAATTGTTAACGCCGATGGTCATAAATACACAGAGAAGACAGTTGTTGTTGTGGCTTTAATGTAATTTGTTGCCTTGGCCAATGTCTGGAGTCGCCACACCCTCTCTACAAGTTGAAACCCCATGGCTTCGACTTGTTATGGTTTGGTGATTATTTTCTTTTAGTGTTTTGACAAGGCATCTTCATTTTATTTTGTGGCAGGGAAGTCCACACCAGATGTCTACTCTCTGTCCAGCCACACACCCACCTTTTGCTTAAAGAAAATTGTATTTATTCATGTGTAATAGACACCACTTTGAAACAACCACATGCACGCACGCACGCACACACCCCCACCCACACATGACAAAGAAAAAAATCCTTGAAATTCGGTTTCAATTCCCCATGAATTGACAGCAGAAGTAATTTAGGGCATATTGTTGTTACCGGACCATTGCATTTTTCGCTTGTCTTTCAAAAAAAAGACAAAATTCCATTTTCGTCCAATTCCGTCCATCAGCTGTTAGTCATCTAGTTCGACGAACACGACGAAATCGAACATGGATAATGTCATTTATCTGATGTGTAATTGAGTTATTAAATAAATCGAATCCATCTAATGGATGGGTGTGTGTGTGGGTGGGTGCGAGGTGTAGGTGACCAGCAATAAGATTTTGATTTATTGATTGTGTGTGATTTATTGAAAGGGGATTTGATAAAAAGGAAATTAAAAACATAAATTCCACAATTATGAGACATTAAGAGAATAATTGAATATTGGGACAGGATTTGTCAAGAATCTTCATATTCTGCCATTATCAATTCAACGTACAGGACACTAAAAAAAACATTTTTAATATTTCTTAAAAAATCCACGCCTTATGGGAGCCTTGAAAAAATATTCTTTAAAAAATCCACGCCTTATGGGAGCCTTGAAAAAATATTCTTTAAAAAATCCACGCCTTATGGGAGCCTTGAAAAAATATTCTTTAAAAAATCCACGCCTTATGGGAGCCTTGAAAAAATATTCTTTAAAAAATCCACGCCTTATGGGAGCCTTGAAAAAATATTCTTTAAAAAATCCACGCCTTATGGGAGCCTTGAAAAAATATTCTTTAAAAAATCCACGCCTTATGGGAGCCTTGAAAAAATATTCTTTAAAAAATCCACGCCTTATGGGAGCCTTGAAAAAATATTCTTTAAAAAATCCACGCCTTATGGGAGCCTTGAAAAAATATTCTTTAAAAAATCCACGCCTTATGGGAGCC